ACCAATCATGTAGATTTATCGGTTAAGGATTTTAGATCCTAACACAAAAAATTGGTTAACCACAGCATAGAAGACATTTTTGGATTTATTTCTATGCTAGATAATATGAATGTAACCGGAAAGCATATGACGTCGTTTGATATCTCATCACTATTTACTAATGTATCATTACTGGAGATGGTAGAGTTTATGTGTCAACAAATATCGGAAAGGCAAATCAGTATCGAGATTCCAATACACGTCCTCAAGTAGCTGCTTCTTAAATGTACTGTGAATGTACATTTTATCTTCAATAGGTTACATTATAGACAGATTGATTGAATAGCCATGGTTTCAACATTTGGCTCTGTTTTAGGTGATATATTTCTTGCCAAACTGGAGAACGGAGCATTGAAAGATGTAATTAAAGAGATCACCGTTATACTGGCAATACATTCATTATCCTGAATGAGAATGTAGATACAAAAGAGGTGTTGAGAAAATTAACTGAGGTACACCTTTCACTGATTTTCACTTGTGAGGAAGAAAATGAGAGTAAACTATACTTCTTGGATATCTTGCTAAGCACAAGAGAAGACGGTTCACTCAGCAGATGTGTTTACAGGAAGACTACTTCTATAAGTCAGCATACACCTTTTCTCAGTCATGTACCCATTCGGTACAAGGCAAACCTAGTTAAATGCCTCACTAACAGAAGGAGAAGAATATGTTTGGATGATCTAGTACAGAAAAAGTTAGAATATATTCGTAATTCTTTGGTCAGAATGGGCTACCTTAACAGTTTCATAAAAATATGTATGGACAAAGTGAAGGGGAAATAACCTGGGATTATTGCCTTACAAAGGAAACCGTTGTTCATGAAATTTCAATTTAATGTGGATGAAACCCGAAAAGTTTTATATCAGAGACTCTATAGAGCCACTAAGAGGAATTCCTACATATCATAACTCTATCATTTTTCAGTCGACCAGTTGTTGCTGCTCAGACAAAAGATAAGGTATCTAGTTTTGCCATTTCTACATGTATTTGCAAGTTTAGCTGCTCCTGTGAAGAAAGCTATGTAGGACTTACTACTAGACAACTTAACAAACGTGTTACTGAGCATCTACCTTCATGATTGGGAAAGGGATAGATAAAATCCATCAGAAGTTCTGTTTTATCTCACCTCTTTGATAGTAGTCACATGATAGATAAGAACAGTACTTTCACGATTATTCACCGCATATCGTCTTATCTTTGGAAAGGTATTCGAACTGGTTTTTTACATATAGCTGTAGAAAGCGGTGGGATTTCGAGCTAATAATCCTAGTTTTGGTATCCAGCGTATACTTAATCAATGACTTTATCATTGGAATTCTTTCATACCCCTTTCTTACTCTTCACCCCTTTCATCTACTTATTATATTTATCTAGGCTTTGTTTACCCACTTATCTTGTCCTTCAGCATTACGTAACTTTCCCAAGCTTTTGACCCACTCTGATTATCGCAATGTCTACATTTTCATGCTGCTATCTTGGTTCTTATCATCATTACCGTTTATAGTGTCTATGCTTTAGTCAATGTTATCACTTTTACTATTTGCATTATTATCACCATCGTTATTTTAAAAGATTTATCACGTTATGTTAATTTATTTGGTTATGGCTAGCAGAATAATCAAGCTGATGAATCTCAAATAGTATGAAACGGGCGTCCTGGATTCTTTTGCTAGCCACAACCAACCAAGTTAACATAATTACCATTCAAGCAATATAGTGGCATCCGCATATGAGCCCATACGCCAGTAGAGGTCGCACAATTCGATCGAATAAAACAAAGGAGAATCACAAGTATATCAGTAAACAGTAATTTTGAAGGAGTTGTGGAGATTTGGAAATATTTAATTTTGTTATTCATCGTAGACTGATATCAGTTGGAGGGACGAAACAGCTGTCCAGTGCTCCCAGGTTTCCATTGTACCTCCAGCTAATGTCAGTCTACGATGAATAACAACTTGAAATAGTAACCGACAGATCTACATGATCGGCTTTATCTTATATATACTAAGCCATGTATATTACAGTAAAGCCTATAGAGGATCTAACCGAAAACAATATTGTTCCCGTATATATCTTGTTCTAATTTAGATGATGAGAATTTTAATAATCGATGTCGCTTTATAATTAGCATACTTGGTAAGCTGCATAAGCTTACAGCATCATATAAATAAAATGAATCAGTTGTAACCATGACAACATTTTACCGATTTCAGATTCCCCATATCTTTATACTTAGAAAAATGAATTTTTAGAAAAAGGACGTCACTGCAGTCGCTAATCGATGAAAATTTTTCGATATCATTGTTCCTAAAAGTCTGAAACTATCACCAGGTTGTCATCAAAGATCTTGTAATGACACAATCAGTCTATCAATTTGTTAGTCAGCAATTATAAGATGTTTCAAGTTGTTATTCATCGAAGACTGACATCAGTTGGAGGAACAAAGGAAATCTGGGAGCACTGGACAGCTGTTTCGTCCTAGTATGGGACTCCTCAGCAGTGCGCACCCACGACCCCACCAGCAGGGATCGAACCCGCGACCTTCAGGTTCCGCGACCAGCGCGTTACCATTGAGCCACTGGGTCAGAATCCAATGCTCCATATTTCCAACTTCTGTTAGCTCACGATATAGCGCAAACCGCCACCCAATGTCATCGTTGAGTATTTGTCCTCACGACCATCAGGCTTTGACTCCACCGATTCTGACCCAGTGGCTCAATGGTAACGCGCTGGTCGCGGAACCTGAAGGTCGCGGGTTCGATCCCTGCTGGTGGGGTCGTGGGTGCGCACTGCTGAAGAGTCCCATACTAGGACGAAACAGCTGTCCAGTGCTCCCAGATTTCCTTTGTTCCTCCAACTGATGTCAGTCTTCGATGAATAACAACTTGAAATATTTCCAAATCTCCACAACCCCCTCAAAATTTAATTATAAGATGACCTAATTAACTAAATATAAGTCAGTATTTCTGTACAGTTAACAAAAATTTACGTATGGTAGATTACAACGATATCGATAAAATTAAGTATGAACAAACACCATTACAATAAATTCATTTGTAACTGATGACGTTTTGGTGTTATGTGGGCTTTGAAGTATTATTCGTGGCTTAGTAACATCATCAGCACCAACCGTATTCATTATTATTCTAGGCCACAAATAATCACCATTTCAGTACAATTTACTTACAAAGCAATGAAATTAATGTATTTCATAATGTAGACAGCATGTCGATCTTTCGCTTGATAAAAGTGAACAGATTACTAGTAATTATCTGCTGAATACACCAAAATATATTTCATCCTAGATGACTATATACAATATCAAACCATGTTAAATAAACAAACGCTGTCACGCTCAACCATGTTTTTACAGACATTCATCTTTTATCCGATTATCTGATTTTATTTCTGTATCACCTTGAAGGCCTCACCGTATTTCATCATTAGATGATGATTAAATATTGACTCAGAACTAAGATATCGGTTGATGAGATCATATTGGGGTACAGTTGTGCCTGACCTCCACAGCCTTCAAGTTTCAGGAGAAAATATACAGAAAAATAGGAGTAGCAATGGGATCGCCAATATTCCCAATCGTAACAAATATATTCATGGATAATTGGGAAAACATAGCTTCACAAAGGCTTAATCCTGCATCAAATACATGGTGACGATGTGTGGATGACTACATATTTACCGTGTTGGAATTGGAACATATCAACAATTCCTTCACACATATAAACTCAGTAGTAGACACAATCCTATTCACTTGTGAACTAGAAAATGAACAAGGAGAATTGTCTATATTGCATTGCAGGAAAGAAAGAAGAACAGAAGGTGGTGTGGATACTACCGTTTACAGAAACCTAATACATTCCAACAGGTATCTAGACTTCAAGTCATGTCAATCAGTGTCAGTTAAGGCAGGTTTAGTGGAATGTGTAAATGATGGAGCTAGGAAACTGACTAGTCAGTGCAACGACCTAAACAAGGAAATGAAGCACGTAACAGAAGCACTAATAGTGATTATCCTCCACAGTTCATTCAGAAATTCGAGCGAACACATAAGAAACGAAATGATGACAGTAACATGATTGTGAATAATGACAACAATGAGAGTAGAAAAGAGTCCATAGCCTGCAATGTGTTGCACTATAAGGAAGGAACATCAAAAACTTTACGTAGGATCCTCAACAAAGCTGGAATTAGGGTGGCATTTAAACCTACAAACTCACTCAGAGATAAGCTTTGTCGGCTGGCTTAACGATCCGATAGAACCAATCAAACAAGATAATCTCATCTGTCAAATTCCGTGTAATAACCGCGAGGTCAAATACCTGGGTCAAACTAGCCGGTTGGTATCAGTTAGAATAGAGGAATATAGGAATTAGGCTGGATATAGAATGACAGACCTGACTAAGATCAATAATCTAGTAAAACGCTCGGCTATTCCAATGCATACATTAACACACACAAACATAAAATAAAATAGGGTGGGATAAAACCGTTGTATTTGGGCCCAATTAGGTGGAGAGATAGAGACTGATTACTAAATGTTTGGTCATCGAATCAACACTCAACATACGTAATGCGAATGACACAGCACCGATACCACAGACATGGAAAAATTTACTACTAATAAAATCAAAGAATGTAAGGTGATGAAAGCATGAAAATCAGATGTTGAAAATTCCCTGATTACACTGATATGATTATGAACAAGAATTTATGCTCGAAACATGATCATCAAGTAAGTAATACTGTATCACTGTGTGTTATAAATCAAATCAACCAATCTAATATGAAATTAAATTCTACCACAGTGCCCAAGTTTTACACTTATATTGATAGATATGTCTAACTTTATGCATGCTCTGCTAAATTCCCTTCATTTATTTGAATAAGGCGGATATCTTATGTAAAGGTTTAAGTTTCTTCTTCAAAGAGAAAAATAACTAAACTTACTGAGGTTCCTCCTTTCCTTGAAATGCTCGTGTAGCTCTCCAGTTCTCAATTATCAGATAGCTTGCGTATATTTTTCCAACGGTCATTTTGTGGTAAATTAACTCTATGAAAATAAGGATAACATAAAAAGCGTTTTAAAAAAATCCATACGTTTTTGTCTGCCACCTAGTATTGTCTTTGATAAGCTTCGTATCTCAGTCAGAATCTATATGATATATCACAATCGTACGCCTCGTTGGTTAGTTAGATTCTTGGAAAATATATTCACTATTTTCAGTCATCAATATTATTTTACACCCATTAGCCTGCACCTACGGTATAGTGACGCGCTGCGTTACCAATCAAGAAGCCCTTCGTTTCGAAATCGAACAAGTCTCCTTAAATATTCCAACGCTTCACAGACGGAATGGAAATATGCATACAAGTAGGTTTTGGAAAAACCTCCAAGAAAACTTCTCAAGTTATATGGATATATCATAATGTCTTGAAACCTTATAATTTAAATTAGTTTCCGATCAAGCCTCTTCTTTGCAAGGTGTCATATCTTTACTTTAATCTTAAAATTTTCTCATTTTTAGACAACAAACTGCTCATATAACAATTCTCAAACTTCCTTGTTAGTGGAAATAATGTTGAATAATCTTGAAAAGAGAATCCGTGAACAAAAGAATAAATTATACCATTAAAGAAATAAACCCTTTCTTTTTGAACAGTAGGAGAAGGCGGGGGAGAAGTTTACCAGAAAAGATTTATGCATTCAAACAATTCGCATAGATTTTATGAAGCAAAATAGGTAACACTTATGCATCATTAATGAACCGAAACTTCTATTTATAGGGAAGGAAAACCATAAATACCTTTGGATTTGTATATGTCTAATTTACTTAAACCTTTGACTTTCATAGAAATAAATGTGAATATTCAAATCCACCTTTCTTCAACAGACTTACTGCTGGGTAAGGTATGCATACCACGCTTGATTATGTGGTTCTCAGGAAACTTGTAGTAACTAGTATTGAAATACTGAACACTACGCTGCATTTTTACGTCTCTCTACACGGATGCTCTTATAACCTACTAGTTGGCTCCATAAAGACTCGAACTAGTCATCTGTTGCTTCAAACTTCTAGAATTAACAATAAGTGCTTATTATCAATAACGAAAACCGATGAATTCATTCATTATCTCAATATAGATGAATTACTGAAGGTTTAAGCGTCAAAATGAACGGATTTTAGGCTCTATTTTTCAACATTATAATTCCTAGCATTTCAGTTTGCAGTGTTCGGTTTGCGTTAGCATAAGAAGCTTCCCGTTATTCTATTTATATAATCGACCAAAGGTCAATAAGTCTGACAGACTTACGTTTTACATTAGCTTAGTTAAGTCTGATGTGCGTCTTCAGGCAGATAGATATCTTACACAAATTCGTCACCAATGGGTAATCAATGTGGCTATCTAGCGACCTTTGCTCAGCACAGATAGAAGTCTATTGATCAAGTTTTGTAATGTGATTGATAAGCAAAGTGACCCAACACTCTGGTATACTATACTTTTGCGTTAACTGGTTGGGAGTCAGTTGGCAAAAAGCTGTACCTGACTTAAGTATTATGCTTATTGACACCCATCAGCAAGGCGCATTTCTAACGATAGTGGTTCAAACCTACGTCGCCCAGTGCTGAATTCAGAGACCTAAAGCAGAATCTATCTAGGCCAAAGCTAATTGAGTCCCATAGACTCTCACCTACTTACAAGAAAAAATATCTTACTTTGATAATAAAATTGCCTTCCAAACATCCTTGTGAATGTCATCATGATGAAATGCTTTAATACCTTATCGAAAACTATGGTAAATTTACGGCATTTAAATACTTTTGTGGTTATTCGATAATTATTTTAAGGTTTTGGCAGGTTATGCACATCAGCTGAAAGTTGAGAGGATATGCATTTTGAAGTCTCTTGTAAATCAAGTTTGAAGTTTAACATTTCTTCATGCGTAGAAGTACTTGCTAGAAATAAATTGTGAAACACAATCAAGATCACCAAACAATCTTTTATGGAACTATACTCTGCCGCATTGCCTAAGTTTCTCTCTTACATCAACAAACACATTTGATGACTTCATTCAGCAACGGCAGAGATCCAATATTTAAACACCGAACTGTTTGAGTCATACTCAGTATACGCAGACATAAAACTTTTGGGTTTAATTTTGTCACATTTCACAGCAATTTCATCAAGGTAGTATAAAATGCGATTTTATTTGTCACTTAATCAGTTGGCTATAAGTGTTCCGTAAGTATGATATGTACTTTTACACCATCGAAGTGCAAAGTACTTTTGGTAGATTGACGCTCGGTGGTGAGCCGTCGCAAGTGGTCGAAAAGTTCGTGTATCTGGATAGCTGTGTGTGTGTGTGTGTGTGTTGGTGGTGTGTGATGAAATTTCAAACTGCATACCAAAAGTTAGAGCTGCATAGATCAATCTGCGCCACCTTTAGCGCCATCGATACACCAGTCCGATCGTAAAAGGTCGGGTTTGCAACGCTTCTTTGTGAGCACTTCCGCTCTGAGCCTGTACATCTGGCCTCTCCGAGCTTGAGATGTGCGACTACTGTGTTCGATCATCGTTGTCTGTGTATGATTGCTCGTATGTGGTGGCAACACTATGTAATCCTGAGGAATGACAGCATGCGTTTGAGCATGGTGGAGATCGTCATCCAATAAGTGAAGTCACCTGGAAACACCAAGTTCGGTGGCTTGGACATGTGTAACGCATGTCATCCCAACGGCTTCCACATTGTTCATTGTTTGGTGGTCATGGGATTGGATGGAAGAAGCAGAGGGTTGGTCAGTGTGTGACTTGATGCTGTGGAGTGAAGGACGGTTGTATCAGGTTGGCATCTGTTGGTGCATCTGATTCCCTGAGCGGAGTCTGATAGACCATGCAACTCAGTGTTTTGAGACATTATCAGATACGACTAAGAATCTAAATCAGTGGCGGTCATGTTGTAGATCCCTTTTGTCTTCTGTTGCTGCTGAGTAATGAATATTTTGGTTTAAATGTATATTACTAGACTGCTTTTCTAATTACACAACTCTCATTTTTCTTTCTTATTTATCCACAATATTATTATTTGTCCTTTGGGCTTCTAGTAGAACATAAGGCTTCGGTAGCACGTCTCCATCTCATTCTCTTCTCTGCAGTCTTTTCAACCTGGCCCCACTACTGCCCACAAGCTTTCATTTCTTCCTCATATCATCTCCGTGTCACCCTCAGCTAGGATGCCCAACTCGTCGTTTCACCTTTAGGTTCCGCTCGAGTGCCTGGTGCGTGGTGTTCTCAGTGTATGCCAAATCCATCTCCACTTTCTTCTGCATATACCTATCCACATGCCATCGCTTTGTCTTCATAATGTTGTTATATTATTTTATGTGGCTTATTTCTTGATGCTCTTGTTACACCATTTTCGTGATCTAATAATACTACTAATAGTTCTGTTAACCGTTCTACTGAGTGATCCATCATCTCTTCTTATTAATAGGACATCTAAAAATGTGGTATATTTTCCTGTTCTTCACAAAAGAAAGTGAGAGAGGGATGCACGTCATTGAATTTTCTTAACGAGAACAATGAAAGTGTTGTCAATAATATTACGTTTAGACAATTCTAGATTACCTATGACATCTTTCAGCAGTCCATTCTCAAGTTTAGCAATATAAAAAATCAGCTAATATTAGGCCTAATGATGAACCCTTGGTAATTCCATCAATTTTCTGTAATATGTATGTTAGCATAAAGCTTGATGAGAGTTGATTGAAAACAATATTGTTCTCTTATATATCTTCTAGACAGTAAATATAAATTGGAATCTCCAAGGCTAAACACGCTTCATACTAGTCACACTTTCAGTGATACAAAACATCAGTACTTTACTGTTTTCATTTATTTTTTACACATACCTGAATCAGGAGGTATAAGTAAAGGAAGTAATTTCTTTCCATGAACTGGCCATAATTTACAAATAGTTTCTCTTAATTCCATATCACGTTGATCCATTATTTCAGTTGGTCCAGTTTTAATGCCTAATGATTCACGTATTAAAGCTAATAGTGTAGTTGTGAAATGTACGCATCCATTTTCGTCTACAGGCATGTTCATTCGAATCAATTTCTAAAAAAAAAATAACATGAAAAAACAAAACAGCTAAGGATAACTATCGTTGTAATAACTTCAGAGAAAATTATTTGATTACTACATAATTAGTTCCCTTAGAAATATAACAATCTTTTCATCAATACCTAACATCAAAAATAAGTTGTCCACAGAGTTATATAGTCAACATTTGTGTTACATACATTAGTTACCGTTCATTGGATAACTAATGTGCATAAACCAGTCACGTATTGTATTACTAGGGATTTGATGAGCTTACTTGTAAAGTTTCCCGTTTCAGAACTGGTTGAACTCTGAAAAAAGTGAATTATCTTCATACAGACAAATTCCAACAAAAACTAGGCTTCGGTTAACTATATGCTACTTCCAAACACTTTACGCTTGATAACATTTATCTAAAAATGACGCTAATAAATTTACTTGTAGCACCCATGAAGTGTTAAAACGATTCACTGGATTTATAAAGTGCTGGTAGCTATAATATTCTAGCTCCTAGTCCATATGATTCTAAGTTCATGTACGTAATCTTTCCATAGGTTTCTGAAGGTAAAAGAAAATGAGATAATAACTGGTAGGTAAGATTGGTTACTGAAATTACAATGGTGCAAAACGTCCAACACTGTTGCATTCCAAATGAATGACTCTCGATTCTTAACCACCATCACTTTCCAGTCCTGTTAAAGTTTCTCTTTCAGAGTGTACAATACAATCTGTTTTCAAAAAATGTATCAGGTGTCATTCAAACTGTTATACAGACACGCACTTAGACCCCTGCTACTAATCTTGATTGAGCCAAGTTTTTATGTTCTGTTATTCTAATCGACCCTAGTCGGATACTTACACCTGTGTATTTGACCTTAAAGTCATTGCAAGGGATTCGGTAAACCAGATTATCTTGCCTTATTGAATCGACAGGATCGTTTAACCTACAAAATCTGTTTCCAAGTGAGTTTGCTGATTTAAATGCCACTTTAATCCCAGCCTTACTGAGAATCCCTCTTAATGCTTCTGAGGTGCCTTCCTTGTATGGTAACATAGCAGTGGCTTTTAATTCCATTTCAACCCTGTTACCATTACTATTATTATTATTATCATTACTAATCCTCTCCTTTGTTAACATACAAGGAAGGCACCTCAGAAGCATTAAGGGGGATTCTCAGTAAGGCTGGGATTAAAGTTGCATTTAAATCAACAAATTCGCTTAGAAACAAGTTTTGTAGGTTGAAAGATCCTATCAATGCAATAAGGTAAGATAATTTGGTTTACCAAATCCCTTGCAATGATTGTGAGGTCAAATACATAGATGAAACTAGTCGACCAGAGCACAAAAAGTTAGCTCAATCAAGATTAGTAGATCCTAATAAAGTAAGAAATGTGGAGATAAGTTCGGCTTTAGCTCTGTACGCAATTACACACAATCAAACTGTAGGGTGTGACAGAGCTACAGTTTTATAAACTAACTTATTTCGGTGGAGGGAGAGATTAATAACGGAATCTTTATTTATCGAATCAACACCGAATGCTTGCAGCAATAGAAATGATTGTGCACCTGTTCCAGATATATGGAAAATTCTACTACCTTTGTTATCACAAAGAAGGAGAGAATATTAGGACTAAATGAACTGTATTTCAAAATTGTGGAACTATCTGATATGAAAACGGACAATAAATTATGTCTGAAAAGTTATCCAGTGAATGCTATTGTTTCACTGAATGATATTTCTAATAAACAGACTAAAATAGAATTACTTGTTCAAGTCTATTGAATCAAAATACAGTAGAGCGTTCTGCACGTAGTGTATTCCCAAGGTTACACAATGGTCTACTGTCAGATGGAGTGGAGGAAACCAAGTTTATAGTATTCATCCTAGTGAAATAAACTTATCATGAACTGGTTACAATACTTGGCACAAATGCTCAACCAGGTTAGTACTAATGTAGTCACTACCTTAGTTTATTTAGCTGAATATGAACATATTAAAGTATTGCCTAGAATAACCGACATATATCTGATCATTCCTTTTTCTATCTCATGGGTTGAATGAGAATAAACCGACTTCATGTTATTTATCGTTAATTTAGCATAGAGTAAGGGTAAAAAACCTTTTTTTATAATTCTCATCTTAGTATGACATTGTGTTTCCTTGTCTAAATATAATTTAAAAGATTAAAAACAATCATAGCATGCTACATTTCCTGACGATAGACGGAAATCGGTCCAGTGTTTTAATGTTTCCAGATAACCATGGACTAAGCTTAAGTATTCAAAGTATAAGAGTAAATGAGAAATGAAAGCGTAAACTCCCTTTGTATGTTAAGGAAATTACTAGTTAATGTGAATTAGAGATGCGAAATTGATAACAAAAAGTGATAAATTTATTTGTTACAAAGGACTGAATCAAGTCCATAGAGCGTAAATCTTATTGTTATGTATCATATGTTGAGGCGATAAAATCTAAATTTTCTCTTTACACAGTTTTAGGTATCTTCAATTGCCCATAGCATAAAGCTGCGAACTAACTATTGTGTTGTAGATCCCAACACAAACCATTCATAACAGTATTGTAAAAACTGCTTATAAATTTACTTCTATTTCAGTGTTATTCAGTCTATTTACATTTGAATTGTTTGATATCCAGTCACGTTTGGCTACATTTATACCCACGAAACTAATATGAACAAAATATCTTAGTGTAAATCGAGGATAACTGAAACTAAAGTGATGTCTAGATGGTGAGATATTTTTAAAAATCAGAAACCGTGATCATTTTTAGGCATTGAGGTATTGAAAGCTATTGTAAGGTGGAAAACACTGTCAATTGATTGTATTCAATACAGTAAAATATAGAGCTTCAGAGTAGTTATTGATTACCATAATTTAATTTTACTCCTAAAATGAAGAGAAGTATTAAAAGTTTTCATTGGAGCATAATATTATTCGACTAAGTGATTACATGAATTTTTATCAGTGACATTAAATTTCTCAGCAAAACTTAAACTTTAGTGTTATTGCTTGTATTACACCGTCTTTGATTGGACCGAATTGATCAGAGACTGATCAATTCGGTCCAATCAAAGACGGTGTAATACAAGCAATAACACTAAACCTAAACCCGTCGCACAAGAAGTGGCTGTCGTGGCTTGGTGGTGTAGTGGATTACGCGCTGGCGTTTGAAGCGATAGCTCCCAAGTCCCGGTGGGAACAACATCCTCTGGGAAGCAGGTATAAAACATAAACTTGCTCTAGATACAATTCACACAATGAGTACAAAAGAATCTAGTTTTTTAATACTTAGTTGCACGCTCAGAGTGAGTTGGTTTTTGAGTTGATAATGCTAGGCGTTATTATGTTAATTTGCCTGAGTCCAAATTAATTGACTGTCCCGTAAGTATATTAGAGTGTGCTCAGGGTCTGACTCCCTAAGAGGGATTTGCAACTAAACTGATATGAAAATTTACATGATAACTGGTAAATTAGTATTGGAATTTGTAGGCTTTTACGGTGGACGTTGAATTTTCAAAATCAATTAGCATTTAACACATGTATATGTTAGTGATACTTCACTTTAATGATCTAAAACGAGCTTGAATAAAAGCCCTAAATATGGTCAATCCTTTCTTGCACTCAACTACTACACTTCTAGTTCAATGCTGATAAAATTCCTAAGTGGATGTGACAAAAGATATTAACACTTTTCAAACCAATTGACTTTCAGAAATTAAATACACCGATAGAGAATAGATGGAACAATTTCTTTTATCTAACGTCAAAAATGAATGTGTGATATCTTCAGCTTTTTCGATCATTTCCCCCCAGGTTTCAATACTACTACTACTACTACTACTACTACTACTACTACTACTACTACTACTACTACTACTACTACTACTACTACTACTACTACTACTACTACTACTACTACTACTACTACTACTACTACTACTACTACTACTACTACTACTATTACTACTACTACTACTACTACTACTACTACTATTACTACTACTACTACTACTACTACTACTACTACTACTACTACTACTACTACTACTACTACTACTACTACTGTGATATTTCTATGTAATGTCTGTCTCACTGCATAACTCTTCTAAGTGAATTTCTGCAACTTTTGAAAACTGGAACCGTTTTAAAATATTTAGACCTTCCATTGTGTTTATTCAACTGGAAGTTATCGAAAGGAAGTGAAGCACTATTCTTTAAATAGTTATCTAATGGTATAAAATCAAACGTTTTATTCTAGTCTGTTATCTGAATCTCTAAATATTGTCAACAAGATCTCATTATTCTATTTCCATATTCATATATTTAAATGCAAATGGTAGCCAGAATCTTATAAGATTGTATAACGCCAATAAATGATAATAAAAGAAGTAAACAATATTAAATAATAATAGTGTTCAATCTATCTTAGTAATACACTATCACCTGAACAATAAGCTTTACTCGATCAACTACAGTTCAGTATTGAGAAAAAGGAATTTATATTTTGACAAATTTCAAGTTTATCTAATTGTCGAAGTATTCATTTAATGCAATAATATCCAAAACGTTTCTGAATAATAATGAAGAAAATGTCATTTTTATAATTCACTGGATTTTTTTTCACTCTAGTTTATTAATGTACTTACTGTAAATTGAGAGTGATTAATTACAAATTTACTTTAATGCTGTTTTATTCATTTGCATAAATTGTTGACTATATAGATTAATCTGAGAGCCGTAATAACAAATTACAATTTTATTGGAGAAAAATTTCATTGGACTTTTGTTTTTACTTTTCTCTATTTTGTTGATTGTTGATAATACTTAAATCATTAATGTCATTATTATTACTGTATACTTTTTTATATAAGTAATTACTATATACTTGTCAAAATTTATGATAGACTGAAATTCGTACATTTGTAATTGAAGTAGAAGGAAGAGTTTTACTACTAACAGCTTTGTCAGTAGTGATAATGCTAATAAAATTCTC